GGCCCATCTCGGATGAAGAGTAATTATACCAAGAACACTGAAACGTCATTAAAAATCTTCAGTAAGTGATTTAAACCACCATTCCTCGCTAATGCTGCACTCCTCTCTTCTTCTTCTTCTTCTTCTTCTTCGCCAGCCAGCGCCAGGATCAACTCATGAGGTTTTCAATTTAAAGGAGGAAAAAAAAAAAATCAAGCCAACTTCTCCTTTCAGAAGGTCTGCAACACTTGACTCTGTTAAAACAAACATATTGAGATTTGAGACAAAGAGCTAATTTAACCGCGGGACCCAGTAATTGAAATCATCCCGTTAAGAAATTCCATTATAAATTGGTGATGAAGGCCACACGTGATTACCGTGGCTTAAAGATAATAATTGGACATTTTTTTTTTCCTCTCTCTCTCTATAATTCCTGCATCACCTCAGACAAGCTGCGCCATTTTTTTTTTTTGTGTGGAAAGAAAACGGTGAACTGTAAACATACGGGTAAAGCCAAACGTTAACGCAAGCTAGCAAGGTGACAGCCAAATACCTGCTGATTAATAGTGGCTGGAGTAGAGTTGAACAAGTCATCAGAGTATAAATGGCCTCCAATAATTTTTAGTAGTATTACCAGTGCCTTCTCCTTCGACTGTGGACTTGACTAACGACTCAAGGCAAGTCAGGCCAATCTATTCATGTCGTCCTTAATCACAAACAGTCTCAAAGGTCTTCACGTGCCCACGGTTGACAAAAATGTACGACATCCACTCACTTTCACCCCCCAGAGGGCAACTCCAAAAACCCCATTGGGGGGAAAAAAAATGAGAAACCTTGAGAAGGGGCCGCAGATAGGGGAATCCCTCTTCCGGGATGACCAATTTAAAAAACAATTCAATCTTCGTTTTATCGTGTCATGGCTCAAGAGCTTCCAGAACGCGGCTACATGGAAATTGCTGACTGACGCGTCACAAAAAGAACAACTTCAAATGGACGAAAAGTGCGTCACAGTCGGCGGCGCGGTGGTGTCGTTGGCGGTCAACGGACACAAAATCCGAGCGGCAGTGCCTGGGAGCAATGCAATCTTTTTTTTTTTTTTGCACTGTGCCCAAAATCAACTTGAGAGCAATGAAAATTATTTTCGACGCGCTTCTCAGGCACTGCAATTATGATAATTATGATCTCAATTAGCGTTGCCATTGCCGCCGGACTATTTAGGGGGCAATTTGGCAGCCCCGGGGAGAGGGGGGTCCGGGATGACCAATTTAAAAAACAATTCAATCTTCGTTTCATCGTGTCATGGCTCAAGAGCTTCCAGAACGCGGCTACATGGAAATTGCTGACTGACGCGTCACAAAAAGAACAACTTCAAATGGACGAAAAGTGCGTCACAGTCGGCGGCGCGGTGGTGTCGTTGGCGGTCAACGGACACAAAATCCGAGCGGCAGTGCCTGGGAGCAATGCAATCTTTTTTTTTTTTTGCACTGTGCCCAAAATCAACTTGAGAGCAATGAAAATTATTTTCGACGCGCTTCTCAGGCACTGCAATTATGATAATTATGATCTCAATTAGCGTTGCCATTGCCGCCGGACTATTTAGGGGGCAATTTGGCAGCCCCGGGGAGAGGGGGGGGGGCGGCGAGGAGTCGCCACGCATCGTTGGGTCAGAATTGGGGAAGGGAGCAAAAGAAAAAAAATTCGGCACTCTTTCATCAATAAAATGCGAGATGAGAGGTGTCCTGCCAAATGTGTCCACATTTGGTCTTCAGGAGAGATGAAATGGATGCGATAAGGATGCAGATGCCTAATTTAGGGGTGGAAACCAGTTCTGATTTGGAGTTATTTCTACATTTGCTAAAGCTGACAACAAATCTACTTTGTGGCATTACTACAAAAAAATGAGAGAAGTCCCTGGATTAATCTGAAAAGTTCAGATGGTCTAGTAGGCTGTTCCTGACATTCCTGCAATATTGATTTATGAATTATTTTGAAAATATTTGTCACGACGCAAATCACACGGAGCCTTCAAAGCTCACGACACACACAAATAGAAATGGCCTCCCTTCTCAGCGCATCCTTTATTCTGTGCACTGTCTCGCAGTATACTCAACTGCCACAGTACATTACAAGCCCACCCCGCAGTGTCATTCATGCGGAAAAGGCCTGCCTCACCGGCTAGCCCTTTCTTTTATTCATCGCACTGTAAATAACTCCACTTTATGAAAAGCAGCCAGTGTGACTCACGGATACCTCTCTAACCGCAAGCCATTATTATTTCATGCTCTCCGAGAGGCGGGCCAGGAGCCGCCGGCGCGCTTTCGTGCCTCTGATGTTGCGTCGTAACACAGGCGGCGGCCCTTGTTGCGCTCCGTATGCCATCCCTCACTTGAATTCACAAACACTTGCCGCCGCATAAATAGCAGGGAGGAGACAGGAGGCGCGCTAATGCTCCGGAACGCCATTGGCGAGGAGATAACGGGTCGAAAAAAAAGCAAGAAGGGGCGGGCGTTGTTTTCCGACCTCTCTCGGGACATCGTATTGGCGAGGAGTGGCGGGCTTACGATGTTCCTGAGCACCCTTTGGAACGCCCGCTAATGGGCGACCCTATCGGTCATGGTGGGTTCCCGCCTGAATCGCAATGAGGGCTCCGTGACCGACAAGGTGCGGCGGGCCCGCTCCAGTTAGCCTGTTAGCGCCTTTGACCTCTCAACAGCCATCAATCCCGGCAGCCAATTTGATTTTAAGTGACAAGTAGATGGAAAGAAACTACAAGATGTTTTTTTTTTCTGGAAATGATTCCCAAACGGGCTTTGAGCACATCTCCGCTTATTAAAACGCATCTTTTGACGCAGTAGTTAGCGCTTCTTTTGATTGCACGACATAAAAAAGAAAAGAAAATTACGCGCTGCAGATTTAAACACCAACCAAACCCATCACAGTCATTTTGGCTCACTAAAGTCTGCTAGCCTCATGCTAATGAATTGGGGACCGCCCAACAGCAACTGAAATTCGCGGGGATATTTAATGACAAATTAAAAGCCTCACAGCAGCTAATTTTACACACATACAAATAGAAAATAATAATATGCACTGGCAGGTGTTTTTTTTTTTCATTTCTGTTGGAATAATGATTATTACTAGAGTTCATTCCTGAATTAAACACATACACCAAAGTATACACTTAGCACAAAAAAAAAGTTTAAAATATGTGCTTAAAAATATGCAATGTAGCAGGGGCACTAACGATGAAGCCCCACCTTCCCCCCGGAAGGTCGATGCGTGCATTTTCATGCCTTTACAGAATAGAAGATAACAAGTCAATAAATGAAGCCGTCTGTGATGCTGGAGGTAGTCAAGGTTGCTTTTTAAATTCCAACTTTTGGTCCTTTATTTTATTCAGCAGTGAAATGCCATGAAGTACAGGAAAAATAATGACATTACAATTCTCCACCATGACCTTCTAACGTCAGAGAACCTTTTTATATGAACACAGTAAACAGTCATGAAAAGTATCAAAAAAGTCGTTGAATCTTGTCAAGAAGGGGGGGGGAAAAAAGTTCTTCTTTTTCCTCGCACCAATGACATAAACATGTCGGCGACAGTCCCGAGTGACCTTCTACGTTGGCGGATCAGAGTCCCAATTATTCGAGAAGGAGAGCGGTGGGAAGGACACATGACTCAACGGGCGGACAGAATGCTTCGTAAAGGATGCGCAGAGGTACAAGCGATAAACACACACGTTAGGTTTAAAGCCTTACAGCTATGCAAAGCAAATGCGGAGAAACGCAGCTTTGCGACTGGTAGCCGGCGACGGGAGTGAATCGCTAAAAATCCCGGGGAAAAGAGACACAAAATAAACTCTTTCGGGGAAGAAAAAAAAAAAAAAAAAAAAAGAAGTCAGGTCAATTGATGGGTCCACCAATTTTTTTTTCTTCCCTCTTCTTCTTTACATAAGTATGCACAGTTATCAAAATACAGACAAAACTCAACCCCAGAAAATCCAGACAACCCTAAAATCTAGTGGAGGAGCAACTTCTGGAGGTCTTTCTGGTATTATGTGCAAGCAACTATTTTCAACTTTTTTTTTTCTTCTTATTTTTTTTTTTAAACTGAATTTATACAAAACCCATGCAAATCTACAGGTAATATGCATTCTGTGGCTGACCCTCCCCTCCCCCAAACTCTGAGGCAACGCATTCCTTTGCATCGCTATGTGGATCGCTCGGCCGGCCGTCCTCGCCGCCAGTGGCGCTCTATATTCTTAGTATTCTTAGTTCTGGCCACCAAATGATTTATTCATTATTCTTATTTTTTTTTTTCTGACATGCATGTTTAAAACACAATATTCTCTTAACAGGTAATCTATACATCAGCACTCTACAAATGTTTGAGGACAACCTATTAAAATGCAAATCTTGCGTAACTTGACGCACGGTGGGGTGGGGGTGGAGGGGTTGTCAACATGGGGAAAGCGTAACAGCTCGTTTGGATGATCTGTCGTCATTGTTCGGTATGAGCAGAGGTAGAAGCTTTTTTGTTGTTTTTTTTTTTCCAAAGCCTTTCTGTGTTGTTTTTGGGAATACGTGGGAGAAACCTCCCCCCTTTTTTTTTTTTTTTGGTGTGGTAAGATTATTAAGTTATCAGGCCTCTCACCATGTGGAACTGGTGGTACGTGTTGGTTCTCAAAGCTAAATGCTTGTTTGCTTGGTTTGCAGCTTGTATCCGCTTTGGTCGAGGCAGGCCGACACGGTACCGTTGTGCCGGATCTTTGAGGTTTTTTTTTTTTTTTAATTTCTTTCTTATCGAAATGCTAGCTTGATGTCATCTCATGAGAATTCTGTTGGCAAAATGGACAAAAAGCTCATTCAAGAGCATGAGAATATTTTCTCGCAAGGCTCATATGCAAACACACTGGGGAAAAAAAAAATCAAAGTAAAAGCAACTGCAAATTGTTTGGGAGCATATAACGTGCTTTGTTGTGTTATCAATAAATTGATATTTTAGCCCAATAAATGTTTTTATTTTTTTTACAGTGCAGTTTTCCATACAAAATGCAGGAACGCAGTAAGAGACTTGAAAGACGTTCGGTGGTGTAAATGCTCAATTTGTTTGGATTGGATGCTTTAAACACGATATCGCGACTGCAGTGTCGCAAAATTTTTGGACCAAAATCCAACAAAAATGCTCATGAGATCCCTTTCTCGGTCCAAGCGGTTGCAGAATTTTGTGTAACTTTGGTTTCCCGACAACGGCAACGAGCGCTTGCATTAAAGCAACAAAACTTTCGACGGGCAAGCGATGTTAGTGCATCCATCCATCCAGGCTGCAAGTTCTGGAGCTACAGATGGAGCTGGATAGCAAACATAAGCTCGAAACGCTTTCCTTTCACCTTTCTGACATGGCTATTATCATCGTCACCGTTCATATTAGTCGTAGAAGGATCTCCTCACGTGGTCACCAGGCCACACCCATTTCCTCGTGAAAACTATTTGGCTTTGCTAGATATTTTTGTCACGTTTGGTTCGTCGGTGGTTTCAGTCGTGATGGGACGGCGGCGCCTTTCAGAACATGACATATTCACCAGTTTGGTTAAATTAAGAACAGCAATTAAAAAAAAAAGATGTTTAGGGGCTCTGTTTTCATTAAAAAAAGCGCATCTGCGGCAGGGCAAAAATGCCGGCGAACGCTAATTTTCGGACAAACGCAGCGAGGGAGCGTTATGGCGATGCTCAGACCGCATCTAAATCATGGCCTAACGTAAACCGCTGGTCTCATGGGACTTTGGTGAAATTGATCCGGCGACAGGCAGGCAAATACTGAGCGCCGGCAAAATTAAATTGCCCGCTCAGATCTGTTGTCACACCGCGGCTAAAACGGCAACATTGCTCCATTCGTGCTTTTCCACAGAGATGTCCGGGCCGAGACTGTCAGTTGCGCCTCATTTAAAGGGCAGGAGAGGAGCCGCTTTGATTGGCGACGACTGTCGTGAACACTCCCACAGCGGCGCAGCTGCGCTCCACGAAACTGTGCCATTCGGGAAAATAGGGCCCAAAATGATTCTGCACTTTCGCACAAATGGTTCTTGTTTTGGTTCTGATCCACTTTTACGTTTCTCTGGCCTGCGGTGCCCCCCCCCCCCGCCCCCCACCAATCCTTTTATAAAGTGGATTTCAACCTGCGGTACACATGCTCAAAGATCTCCATGGAGCGTCTTTTGAGGAGGCCTTGAAAGGAAACAATCCCAGAGGTTAGTCGAAGGTAGTTTTTTGCGGAACGAAAGCTTCTTCTTGGTACGAGCAGCTGAGTTTGGTGTCTTGTTTCAATAAGCTCGTGTCGGCTTTGGTTTCTAGCTGTTGCCTGTGACTGCTTGCAGGTCGACAAAGCTTTCAGAAGGTGGAGGTAAAGGAAAGATGTTGGAATGGTGCTTTTTCTCAATTTTCATCCCCTTTTTTTGTCTGCGAAAACTCTCGAGAGCGCAGTTTTTGTTGTGATGGAGGGAATGGCATTTACAGTCGGGGGTGTCCGTGATGACGTGTGGAAATGGGCTGAATTTAAAAAAAAAAAAAAAAAAGAGATGCAACAGCGACATACAAGCGGTGACACAACAGACTTGATTTGAACCAGCAATCGTGTCTAGACATCAACGGCTACCGTGGCTCGGCTTATTCACAAACAAAATGGTCCTTTTTTTTTTTTTTTCCTTTTCTTTTTGGCAGAATACGACAGAATTTTGCTCATTTGTGTCCTCCTTCCTGATATCCATCCATCCCTCCATGAGCCCATCCTCCTTGTACTGCGGTGGCCACGCCATCTTGGATCAAATACTTTTGTTTTTTTTTTTCCTTTTCTTTTTGCAGGCATTTCATGCCTGACATGTTGGCGTCAGCCATCTCAAAGGGCTGCAGCAGAGAGTTCCTTTGGAGCGTCCGGATGCATGCTCAAATAAATAGTCCCAGTGGAGAGAAAGAACGAGAGAGACGGTAGAGGGAGGAACAAAAGGAGAGTGGACGGCAGTTTGCGTGAACGTTGCACAAGTCTGGCCCGGGAGAAAAAAAAAAACAAAACAAAATCAAATAAAAGAGCATACTAAGGGATAGAAAAGGAAAATCACTCGAGGTCTTCCGATAAGTTCCCTTCCTCCAGCTCCCGGTCATCATCCAGCTCTGGACTGTGATTGGCCGTCGTCACCAGCGACATGGGACAGTCATCGTCGTCCATGTTGGGGGGCTCCTCTTTGACGTGCACGGGCGGCCTGTGACACAACCACATTGGCACACACTTTCCTTCTTTCTTTCCTTCTTTCTTTCCGGTAAACACGAGAAGGGCCGCGACATGCATTATCCAGCATGCAAGCATGTTGTTTTTCGCCAGACGCTAATTTGACATGATGCCCCGCGTCGACTGTAAGGAAGAACACGGCAAAACGCGGGCGATGGGCTGTGATGCCTCAGACATGTTTGGCATTTAAAAGTTTACTGATGACACCAGGTTGAAATACATGAAAAGGGCGGGCGGGAGTGGGAAGGAGGGGGTTGGTTGGGGGGGAAAAAAAAAAAAAACAGAACACATGATAAATAATGGAGAATTTCTCATCCCTAAGCCCCCCGGAGCAAAGGCAGAGGAGAGGCTTTTTTATCTAGTTAATAGAAAGCGCAGCCGCTAGTTAATATGCAGGGGCTGCGCGTGTCGCTCCTCAAGAGGAGTGAAAAAAAAAAAAAAAAAACGCAGCGAGGTTCTGCCATTAATCAACTTCAGCCCCGGCAGTTGGCTCGGACGCCATGATACATGTTTTTAAACTCCAAATGGACGAACATCTCGGCCCGTTTAGCGACGGCGACGACGACCGGTAGGAGCAGCCCGACGTTGGTCGCCGAACAAGAAAAAAACAAGGCCGAACACGATCTTGTGCCGCCATGATAAATCTGACAAAACCTAATTATTTCCGACACATCGGTTGCATCAAAAAAAAAAAAAAAAATCCCCTCAGACTGCAACAGAGGAGGTGGAAAAGGAGGGGGGGAGGGGGTGGCGGGTACGGGGGCTCGTCTCATAGCTTCACTCCCGAGCTGCCCTCGTCACTGCTCAACGTGGGCCGTGGGGGATTTCGGATGCCATTTGGAATTTGAACAGAATTGCAGAAGTTACACATGACTGGAATATGCAAAGCAAACACTGGGAAGGAATATCCCGGTGCCTTGTTTGATGTCGCTGTGTTTGGAATCTGCATTTTGTCGTTTCTAACGAGACAACACAACACTTGTTCTTATCTAAAATGACTCATTCAGTCCGTGATGGCCAAACTTGGGAAGGAAGGCAAATAGGTGTGTCCCCGGTCCATCCGTTTAGCGGTCCGGTCGATAGCGTGAACCCTTTAAGCACCAATGGGGAAGCAGAGCTTTGTCTAATTGTCCGATCCGGGCGTCCGCTCCCGAGAAAGGCCTTTAAGAAGTGATGTCCTATTTCATTTAGCTCTACGGGCCACTCCATTATTTAAAAGCGATCATGGAAGAGACGGTGGCAAAAAACACATTTCTTCCATTTTGAGGTTCTCTTGGTCGTATATACGGAGGGACGCGGCGTCTCGGGTGGAAGGCAGTTGGAGCGAGAGAAAAGTAAGAAGGGGGGGGGGGAGAAAAAAAAAACATCAATTCCATTCTGTTATTAAAAGTTACATGACCTGAGGGAGTGGGGAATGGCAGCAGATTTGGCCCACTTAACACTCCATTTGCGAGCCGGGGTAGTAAACATGCCCGGACAGGTTCATGTATGGACGTCTGGTGGGACGAAACGAGCGCTCCCCTCTTCGACACACTCGGAAAGTGCATCTTTTGTCCATTACAAGCTAAGAAAATGTCATGTGACTCTGCCAGTGAGCACTGATGGACATTGCATGCGCATTATGCGCCTCTACTTGTGCGTGTGTGTGCGTGCGTGCACGCCGAGCGTATTTTCTGTCATGTGAATCGGAAAATAAAAGTGTCGTTTCTCGCTCTCGGCACCGTTTAAGAGGAGGGAAGAAAATATGTCTTTTTTTCTTGCTGAATATTCAGAGGCGGCGAAATCGCTACAATGCACACAGTGGCGCTGACACAGTTGGGTCAAAAATATCCCAAGCGGGGGTCAAAAAACGGAAATGAGCCAAATATCTGACTTATTCACTGAACCCACATTTTAGGGGCAGATGAATAATCCAAATTTTTGTTTAAATTTGGGGGATAAAACCAAGAACCCCCAAAGTTAGGTTTGTTCCTTTTTGACCCAAATTTGGTTATTTTGAACCCAACTGTTTTGAGAGTGCGTTTGCAGATGTTACACAAAGTGTGGGAATCACAAGCGAGAGACGATCGGGATTAGGGAGCGGCGGAGGGCGAGGGGGATGAATGATGAATGTAACCTTGCCTCAGGGTCCTGACACCATAAAAAAAAAAAAAAAAGCAACGGTACCGTGGGTTAAATATCAGGCAATTAAACTAACAAAGGGCACAAGGACACAAGGTGGGTGGCTCAACATGTCTTACAATCCCAGACAGCCTTTCAAACTCATAAAAAAAATGTGCCAAGTGTGAGTGTGCGTCGTGCAAAGTCTCCAATAATTGGACCGTTAAAAGCACGAGCGCTCCTCGATGGCTGTCAGTCTACGCAGCGCCGGTTTTTTGCACGCGAGTCGGACTTTTTGACGATGCGTAAGACGCCCGGCGGGTACGCGAAGTGGGAGCGAGTGTGCGGAACCTACATGTGTCCGGGCGGGGAGTAATCGGGGCTGCCGTGTCCGTTGCTGTCCAGGTGATCCAGCGAGCCGCTGAGGTCGTCGTGGACGGACTGCAACAAGGCGGGGGGGCTGCAGCTCAGCGTGCCGGGAGGGCTGATGCCCAGCAGGCCCGGCGGGCTGCCGCCCAGCAGGCCGGGCGGGCTTCCGCCCATCAATCCGGACGGGTCGCCGCCCAGGAGGCCGTGGCAGCCGCCCATGGAGCCGCTGGTCATTAGGCCCGGGGTCCCCAGTAGAGGCAGGGTGGTCTCTGCCAGGGCGGCCTGTGCGACACCAGACAACCGTTAGACGACGGATGTGCAGACCGTTCACACTGACAGAAAAGTGGAAAAAAAAACGGCAGTCGGTCCAACTTTGACTCTATTTTAAAAAAAATTTTAAAAGCCCAATTTTGGTCAAAAAAATGGAATTCCCTGCAACTTGGGTTCATTTGAGCCTGCTATTTTTTTTTTTTTTTTAATTTAAAATATATTTTTTTAGCATTTAGCCTGGCGTTTATTTTTCTTGTGCAGCCGGCCAATGAAAAAGGTGAAATGCGCCCCCTCCCCTGCATGACCCAACGAGCTGCTTTGATCAGATCAGAAGTTGAAAAGGGGAAGCAGGATGAATAAATAAATGATGCCCAGATTGGAGCAGCAAGTGACAAGCGTACTCGCGGTTGCCATTCAAACGCCCTCATCCCCCTTGAAAACTTTACCTCCAAATAAAAGAAAAAAAACCTTTGACACTTTTGCCGGCCGAGCATGAAAGTTATATGCCGCGATTAAATTTTTAAAAGTTTTCCGCCATGAGAACCGAGCCGACGTGCGCGATGAAGTCAAATCATTGATGACAGAGCGGATAAATATTCATGCGCGTGCCCTTGCGTTTGCGCACGGACGTCGTCGCTCTCGTGTGGCTGCGAGCGGGACGAAGGAAGCTGTCGGCCCACCCCCGCTTCTGCTATTGAGGTGGTCATCTGCTTGGGTTCCTACCTGGAGGCTGGCGTTGAGTGGAGATCCGTAGCCCAGACTGGAAGGCAGGTTCTTGACAAGTGACGGGCTTCTGGAGAGGGACGAGGTGGAACAGCGCTCAGTTAAGATGACAAATTGATTGGCGGATACGCTTGAAGAAGCAAATTGACAAAAACATTGCGACACTGAGCATGAAGCTCAGGTACGTTTGTGGTGGTGTTTTTTTTTTTTTTTAATTCATTCATCAAAAACAACTCACTGGGATGTCAAGTACGGTTTAGTTCGAACCAAAAAGGCGATCAAGTCCACAAATTGTTTGAGCACAGAGCAGGGGTGTCCAAACTTTTTTGCATAAAAATGGACGGATGAAAGGGCAACTTGAAAGTTCTTCAATGTCAGTCAAGAAAGCAATTCCATATTGTTTGTATTGTCCAGCTGATTTCATCAGATTTCTGTTAAAGCTGTTGAGGCAAACGGTATATAAATAAATGTATTTGTATGAATGGCACCAGCACAGCCTCCCATCTCGCTCTGCCCACCTTCACTTTTTTTTGCAGCCCATTGTCAAATTTTTTTATTTTTTATTTTTGTCATCCCATGAATTATTGATCGCAGCATCTTATTAAAGGCAACGTGAACAAATTTACTGTCTCGGAAATGTGTTCATCGGGAGCCAAGAAGTCCCGTCGCTCTCAATTCCCACAAGGTCGGCGACCCCTGCTCGAAGAAGGTCTTAAGGACCGAGTCCCACTTCCTCCCCTGCTCGATCACGACTCGTACCCTGTAATCTTCTGCGACCGGCGTTTCTGGTATTCCACCTCGTCCACCGTCCACACGGCGCCTTTCACGTTCTCCACGCGCACAAAGCACTTGTGCAGGCTCAGGTTGTGGCGCACGGCGTTCTGCGGGTCAGAGGAAGACAGCGAGCGAGCGAGCGCGGTCACTCATTAGCTCCATAATTGATTTTTTTGGAAAGAAATTCTGAACATTCACGCTCCATTGATTTAATTAGCAATAAAAAAAAAAAAAAAAGAGAGAGAAAAATGAGTGAAAGTGAATGCTCTTACAAGTCAGGCCCACAGTACATATCAATCAGAGTAAGAAGACTAAAAGGAGGTAATCAGCATAGCGAATGGCTTATGGTGCTGACAGAAGTGGTAATGCGGGCCTTGATAATGGCGATGTCAGTAACCCTCTCTTGTCCTTAATGGACACGCTGTTTCAAAAAAAAAAATGACGGCCGTAAGATGTGTGTACGTGTTTGCCTTTTCGCTATTAAAGCCGTCCTGTAAATGACGACACTCATCCAAAGTGAGGTGATTCTCCTCATTGCAATGTGCGCAAACCCCCCAAATATTATGACCGTCATTAAAACCTGCATCAGGCTCAAACAATCAGCACGGCTTTAATGTCCCTGCCTCTCATATTTATCACCTCCCTCGGATTGGCGTGCGTGCTCTTCCGCCAAGAAAAAAGGGATTCGGCGGTGGAGGGGGGGGGGGGGGAACACAAAAACAGCTCTCGCT